CTGGCTAGTTTTTTGTATTTTTAGTAGAGACGGGGTTTCACCATGTTAGCCAGGATAGTCTCGATCTCCTGACCTCGTGATCCACCCGCCTCGGCCTCCCAAAGTGCTGGGATTACAGGCTTGAGCAAGACCCCATCTCTAATAATAATAATAACAGCTGGGTGTCGTGGCATGCAACTGTGGTCCCAGCTGCTTGGGAGGCTGAGGCTAGAGAATCACATGAGCCCAAGAAGTGGAAGCTGCAGTGAGCTGTGATCACACCACTGCACCCCAGACTGGGCAACAGAGCAAGACCCTGTCTCAAAGGAAAAAAAAAATGGACAAGACTGTTACAGAGCAACTTTATTCATAATTGCCCCAAATAGCAAATAACCCAAATGCCCACCCACGGAAGAATGGATAAGCAATTTGTAGTATATTCATGGGACACAACACTACCCAGAAACAAAAAGGAACTCACCCCTAATACGCACAGCCACATGCTGTTGACTGTGTATTGAATGAAAGAAGCTGGACGCAAGGGCGGACCTGTGCTATGATTTCGTTTATATAAGTCCAAAAATAGGAAGCAGTCAATCACATTGATCTGTGATGTGCACATGGTGGGGACACCATCATGAAGGCAGGTGTCACACAAGAGCTGGGGTGGTTACCCCTGCAGGATGGAGGGGGCTGTGCTGCGGTGGGGGGCACTAGGACTTCTGGTGGCTTCACGGTGGCTGCCACTTTCTACTTTTGTTGTTGTTGAGATACAGTCTGACTCTATCACCCAGGCTGCAGTGCAGTGGCACAATCGCAGCTCACTGCAAACTCCACACCCTGGGCTCAAGCGATCCTCCTGCTTTGGCCTCCCGAGTAGCTGGGACTACAGGCGCCCACCACCACGCCCAGCTAATTTTTTGTATTTTTAGTAGAGACGGAGTTTCACCGTGTTAGCCAGGATGGTCTTGATCTCCTGACCTCGTGATCCACCCGCCTCGGCCTCCCAAAGTGCTGGGATTACAGACGTGAGTCATCGCGCCCGGCCTAATTTTTGTATTTTTTATAGAGATAGGGTTTCGCCACATTGCCCAGGCTAGTCTTGAAATTGTGAGCTCTAGCTGTCCTCCCGCCTCAGCCTCCCAAAGTGCTGGGATTACAGGAGTGAGCCACTGCACCCGGCCTTACTTTCCACGTCTTGACCCAAGAGATAGTTGTATGGCTTTATAATCATTTGTTACATTGCACGTTTACATGTTCCGCACTTTTCAGAGGGGTGTGTTGGTAATATATCCCAATTACAGTGTTTTACTGTGGTGAAATATTCATAATATGAAATGTACCCTCTTAACCTTTAAAATTTTTTTAAAAATTGGGGTAGCATCTCGCTGTCTTGCCCAGACTGGAGTGCAGTGGTGTGATCTCGGCTCATTGCAACCTCTGCCTCCCGAGTTCAAACAATTCTCATGCCGCAGCCTCCCGAGTAGCTGGGATTGTAGGTGCCCACCACCACACCTGGCTAATTTTTTTTTTTTTTTTTTTTCTTTGTATTT